AGAAAGCTTTTAAATGTCCAGCCAAGTCCAGTCCAAAGCCCAGCCAGATCCACAGCCCAGTGGCTGCCTTCTCTTATGGCCAATGACACTTTGCTTTTCTTCTCCTAATGAAGCTGTAGCCTTTGCTAGTGGCTCATTTCAATCAGGAATTTTACTCTAAACAAAGCTTGCCTGATCGTGTGTGTTGCATGAGAAACCTCGTGACCAACAGCATCAGGAAGCCGGGCACCTCCAGGGCCCATGCTGGCGTTCCAGACAGAGCCAGGCTTCCTTCCCTGGACTGATATTTTTGCCCTTCAGAGATTCACCTCTGCTTGCTAGTCACCCTTTGGGCTGTTTTCCCAGTAGACTCTGGCTGCTGCCTTTGAGAGTCTTCCTGCTTTTACTGTTGGTCTTATTTTAAATCTCTTCTGTGTCTTTTTTTGCTCCTGCAAACACTCTGATCATTTTTTTCCCTTGTGATTTTACATAAGTAATATTTAGAAATACTCCTCTTAGAAACAAAAAACATCCACCTGACATCTACTGTCCATTTTGACAATATTTAGGGTTCCTGCAGCTCATTTCATTAGAGGGAAAAGAAAACCAAACCAATGATGGGGTCAGATATTCCTTTTACATAAAGCCAGGTGGGATCCTGACTCCCTCAATGTCAGGAATCACCATTTGGTTTTGTGTTTTCTCTCTCTCCCACGTGCACAATGCCCTCTCCCCTCAGCGCAGCAACGCAGCGGGTACCAAGGTCCCCTCCCTGCACTGCCCAGCCAAGGCTGCGACCCTGCACGGCTCCTGTTCCCAACCCGCCTTGCCCATCACCGCGGCTTTTACTGCTCCAACAGCATCGGTCCACAAGAAATCTGAACTGTTTTCAGCAGCTATCCCACAGGAGGTCGGGCTGCAGGTTAACGTCACACCTTCCCAATTCAAAGCGGCTGCCCTACCCACCCAGTGAGACGTGATGTTCCTTTTCTTTGGGAAGATAATGGGAAAAAGGCAAAGAAGAATGAAGAATACCGCCAATAGTGCTCAGATCTCACCGCCCCATTTTGTTCCTTTAAATTAATCAACCATATTCTTTTCATAGGTCTGTGTATCAATACTGATCGTAGAGGAAAATTCAACCAAGGGATACACGTAGCACGCGTGAACGGCAGTTTGGGTCAGAAGAAGCATTGAGATACTATTGTTCTTCTCCTCCAGCTGTTGCTGGTAATTAAAATGCTTTCCAATCTCGCTGCAAAACCTCAGAAATCTTTGGCCTGGATGAGTAGAGTAGGGGAAGAGAAGGAATGAGGGGGAGAGGAAGAGTCTTTCTACCACCTGAATTTGGAAGGTGGCTTCCTTCAGGCTGGTTCTGAAAAGGTGCAGACTGGTTCAGGGAACCCTATTAAAAATGAGTGTATAATTCATGCTGAGTTTTCATCACATGAGTGCAACTTCCTCAAGTGCACAGGAACCTGAGCAGAGCAGAGCTCTGAAAAATGGTCATAAAGGACACCACAAACACAATGGCATAAGGGTGGGATAGGACAGGTTACCCTGAAAAGAAACCTGCTGTCTCCAGGAGGGCTGAGCTACCCACCCCTGGGGGTCCTCACTGCCACATGGAACCACAGCCACGTGCTTGAGCGTGGTGTAGTATTATTCCCTTCAGCATTTCCTCCAGAAATGATGCTTCAGCACCAGGAGACTCAACTCTTTGGAGCTGACGTGATATTCAGAATACTTCCAGCAACAAGGATGCGCTGTTGCTTGAGGCTGATGTGAGTATAAGGTGGAGTTGGCAGCAAAACTTTTCCCTAGTTATTCTACAAACACTTTTCCCCCCTACCAGTTTTTTGTCTCTGCTTTCTAGTTACTGCTTCGTGACCTGTAAACCTTTTTATTTGTGACACTTTGCTATGCAAAGTTGGGTGAGGACAGAAATAAAAGTACTTTTAGCCCAGAAGTTTTCAGACATACCTGGAAAATACCCAAATGCATTTTCCCAACTATAGCAAAGACAAGTTGTCACTTAAGAACATCCTCACTGCTAAATGTGATTAGTTTTAGAATTTGCAAGTACAGCACTGAAATCCATTCCTTAAATATGAAATTACATCCTGGTGCCAGATACAAATAATTGACTCAGCCAACAGTCACCGAACATTTGAGAAACCATTAAAATAACCAAAAATTTAAATGGAATTAATTCACCTTCTATACCCACTGTGAGATTTCTACCAGAAAATAGAGAACTTTTTTGCTTTCTTCTTGGGAGATGTTTCTAAAAACGCAGATGCAATCAAAGCACTAAAGGAATTTTTTATCATGTATTTTTTCATACCAAATACCCCAATTAGCAAGTAATAATGGCACACAGGTATATAACAGCTCCCCAAAGTATGGCTCTTAATCCATAAAGTGTGGGATTATGACTGAATCATCTGGCAGATGTTATTTTTTTCCGCATCATATCAAGTAAACATTCACAGCACATTTGTGGCAGAAGCCTTGTGAAGAGCTCGCTGGGTATAAAGGTAATTTTTAGCGGCTTGGCCAGAAGAGCACGGCACGGGGCTTTACTGCAGAGCCCTGCGTGGGGCGGCGATTTGCCTGAGCTGCTACACCGGGAACCAGATTTCCTGATCGCGTTCACACCTTTTCTGAGCCTGAAACCAGAATCTGTCGGGATGGAGGGAGAAGGGACCACGGTCGGCTGCAGTCGCTGCCCGGGGAGCCCTGGGGTCTCTGGTGGGCAAGCCTCGGGGGCTGCACCACGGAAAATATTCTGCTGCGAAGGGTGGAGTCTGGCCCTAAGGGCAACCAAGCGGCATCTGCGGCTACCAGCGGCCAGTTTCAAGGGCTGTAGGCATAGGTTACTCTTTGATGACATGATATTTGGGTGGAAGACTAGCCTGCCATCCCCAAGAGCTCTTTCTACTTTGACACCATGCCATCCTTAACATTAAACCTGTGTGGCACTGCTGCTGTAAAATATTTTTATTGCAGTGCAGTTACTGTTATTCTATCTCAGCTTTCTCACTGGTGCAGAATTTGGGATTCAAATGGTGTTCATAGCTCCTTGTTAACATGGCTGAATTGCTGATGAAATACTGAAGTATCCTTCTGCCCTAAAGCACCTGTGTGCACCATAATATGCTATGCATTTTCCTTCATATTCTCCTCTTCTGTTTTCAGCAGAAATGGGAAATTCCCCCTCAGAAGAGGACTTGTTTGTTGAAATGTTATTTTTTAAAAGAACAGTTTAAATGGCTTCTCCAGACACACAAGTGTGTTCCGTAGGAGAAAGACCAGGCTATGAAGATGACAGAAACGTGGAATTCTTGTTTGTCTGGGTAGCATCTACAAGTGTCAAGTAAATGTAAAGCTCTTCAAAACAATTTCTGGGGTCTAATAACGTACATGTTATTGCAAATCAATCTGGAATATATCAGAGAAAATAAACCTTGATGATTCCTGCACCTCAGCATTAACTAATCTCAACATCATAGCAAAAGCATACCCAATTAAACAGAAATGATAACAAATGTAAACGCTTTTTAGCATCCTATAGAGCTTAGCAGAAAAAAATATTATTTCCTCAAGGTTTGAAAGAATTAAATTGTTTTTCAAAGGATGTACTTCTTCGAACATTAGACTTCTCTATATGTTATCATAAAAGCTATCTGAAATGACTACAGGACTCTAACGGATGCGTTATTAAATGCTATAGGGCTTTTCCCCAAAGGAAATCAGCATTACTCTTGTGGTCCTCAGAATCTTATTATTTGAATGAGAGTATCTTTAAATGAATGGACTGTTCAAACCATTCGGAGTGAAATAGTGCACTAGCTCTGCACATCGTAGAAGATTTAAAAAAATCCCTTAGAAGAAATCATGCATTCTTATTTAGTGCAGAAACCTATCATCTTATAAAAGCTACCTTCCTGATCACCCTTCTCTCTTAAATGCCTGGGATGTAAACCACCTGTCTCTGTGGTCACACCAGAGATATTATTGAGAGAGAGAAAGGCCCTGTGTGTTTAGATTCATGTCGAAGGTTGATTTTATGTACAGTCTTCAGAAGTGCACCCTTTTGGTCACTGTCTTCACCTGAAAGACATGGGGAAGATCTGTAGGTATAGCTGACCTTGACCTACAAATCTCAGTTAAACCATCTCAAATTTGACACTGGAGGACTCTACGATGTTAGTTAGAAGCATCTCTATTGACAGATGCAGAATAGCAGACAGAAAGTGGGAGATCGCAATTTGCCCTAAGTTGGTGAAAGTCCCTTGGAGGAGAGATGGAGTCAGAGCTCTCGCCAGCTTTCCCCTCCCTTTGCACAGAACGTGGCTACAGGAAAGTCTCGCTGATGAAACTGCAAAATCTGTTCAGTGGGATTTCCAGTGCCCTGGCTCAGCTGACAACTAATTTGTTTTGCCTTTGCCTAGCAGGGATTTTCCATGCAGCGGACTCTTGTTTGCTATGTAAGTCATCCGAGTATTTGTTAGTGTCATAGCCAGAGCCAGATGATGTTTATTCTGCTAACATCCAGTCGGACTCCGGCAGCGCTCATTGAGGTCAGGGCTTTATTTATAGAAGCAGATATACATTGAGATTCATTTTCTTTCCCTTGCTGTAACCTACCTAAGCTCATCCAAAATAGAAAGAAACATGCAGACACGCAAGTAATATACTAATTGGGCCAGATCCATGAATTAGCACAGCACCACAGAACCAATGGAAAAAAAGCATTTTAGAGCAGCTGCGTATCTTGTCTATTATTTCTCCTGGGGAAGAGAAGGGAGGGGTTTAAAACCAGAAATAATAAAGCAAAAACAACCAAGCAACAAAAATGTCCCGGCATGTGGCAGAACAGGTCTGTGATGCAAAATTCCTTCACCGAGAGCTGCAATTGAAGTTTGGTTTGTTGTTGGTTTTTTTTTTTCCCCAAGAACCAGAGTGCAGAGGAGAGCTCCAAGCAAGGAAAAGTAACAAGACTTAAAGCAATTTACCTGCTGAAACCGAGAAGACATTGTCAACGTACGCAGTCTGAGAGAAAGCAAAGCAGAAGAAAAGCTGCAGGTAAGATCCCCAGACACGCGGGCCGAGGACCAACATGCCGGCTGCGCCCCGGCGGGCTCCGGCGCGGAGGCGCAGGGCTGCTTTGGGGATCTCTCTCTACCCTGGCTCCCTCTCTGCCTGCTCCCTGCCTCTTCCCTCGCCGTGGGATGCGTGTGTGTGTCTGTGTGTGTACGTCTCCCTCTCCCCCCCTCCCTGTGCCTTTAGGAAGAAAGAATGCCAACCATTTCCCATTAAATCTTCTCCTTACACTAGACACGGTTATATTTAACTCCTGCGCTGGATCAGTTGCCCCTATTGTAGACAGTAGCTGCTAAAACGGGGGCATGGGGGATTCTGGTTTTGCTAACAGAAGCAAAAAGGCACTTTGGATAATAATAATGATGAATAGGAAAGGGAGAAATTATGCACCGGACTATAAACAGCATCCTTCAGTGCAGGCAACCAGACACCGGCGTCAGGATGGATAAAATCCCTGACTGATCATCTTCTCCAGGTCACTAATTGCCTTAATGAGAGAGATGAGCAGCGACCCAACATCTGCTTATCACCGGTCGTCGCAAGCGCTGCGTTCGTTTACAGAGCGCAGCTCAGGCGGACGGATGCCACAGGGGCTTCACACCCCACGGAACGGCTGGTTATTCCGTATTCCAGCCAAAACGGCAG